GTAGTTTCGGAGATACGAGGGGGGGGCAAAAAATAGCCCCCCCCCCCCACCAGGTCGCGTTATAAACAGACCCCACCAGGGCGCGGGCTAGCCTCGCCTCGTACCGGCCGCGAGTCGCGACCACGCTATCCTGAATGGAACTTTGATCGATCTGTGAGCTCTTAGCTAATGAAGCAGTCGTATGATCTGAGTCTCTTTTTCTCACGGAACACAGATTTAGCCCACTTCAGTTCCAATGCGATTGAATTTAGAAACACCATAGTTTCATGATGAGTAAAACAATGGTAAAATGACCTGAAATAAAATAAAATGCTTTTAAGCTTATAAAATACATAATTGAAGAAAAGTCCAAACATAAAATACAATGAATTTTAACCCATTTACGCCCTTCGTTGCGTTTTCGCAACGCAAGCAAGCGTCGACGTGATCGAAGCTTGAAAGGTGTGTAAAAGAGACTAACCGATGAGACAAGTTTCAGCGTGTGTAGCATGGTTGTGCGCATGATACTACGCAGTTACAAGTCTGTGCGGCCGGTAAGTTACTGCCTAGAGCTCCCAGAGGGAAGTCGAAGGTTTTGTGAGTGATGACGTCACGAAAACCAAGATAAGTAGGCTAAGTGCTTAATAATATCGTAATGAAAATTGTGTAAACATATTCTGCAGAGTCCCTACAATAGCGTAGATATGCATTTTGTTAAGAAACAATGCTACAAAAAAGGTTTGTGACTATTTTCAAATATGACTACGGTCGCGTTGCGGGAACGCAACGAAGGGCACATCGGAAAGACAGCGGTGTTGCGAAAACGCAACGATGGGCACATTGGCAGGGTAGCGGAAGTATGAATATCAACAGTAGACTTCACTCGTGATACGCTGTGAGTTCTCTCTTTCTCTACCCCATCTTCCTCCCTCTCCTCCTCGTTCCCCAACTCTCTCCCCCCCTCTCTCTCTCTCTTTCTCTCTCTCTTTCTTTCTCTCTCTCATTTTGTAGCCATGAGGCTGTAGCGGCGGAACATCTTCAATTAAGGGGGGGGAGCACTGCTGACTTTTGGTCTCATTCTTTCCATTTCCATTTCCATGCAACGCCTATCGGGATAATGTTAAAATGGCAAAATCAAGGGGGGCACGGTGCCCTGGTGCCCCCTCCCCCCGCTCCGCCGCCTATGCCATGAGGGACGTAGGTATGTTTAGTGCAAGGTGCGTTCGCACGTAAAATGTTGCGACACATTTCATATTTGCTGGCTCAAACAGCCACAAACACTCCTTTCTTTTTCTCTCGCAGATTTTCGGCCTCGGGCTGTTCGTTCACTAAGCAATGTGTTCCCATGCATCTGAAAATCGCATGGTAGGAAAAGGACCCATGCATCAAACGGTCGGCGATGCTAACGGAGCTGAGAGATAATTAGGTCCTTTGGAAATTGGATCTACTATGTACATTGTGCATAAATAATGAATAACGGGGATGTATTCTGGTATCAGGCGACAGATAGGCATCGCCATTCTCTGGATAGAATCTGCTGACTACCAGCATTTACGTTAGAAAAGATAACTGAGGGTCGGCAAATAGTGGGATAGGCCCCCTCTGAGGGTAGCTGAGCCCTTCGGCAGGGGTAATGAGGGCGGACCCATGGGAAAATAATAATTTTTAGGATTCATAACTCGCATAGATTCATAAGCTGCTTGATGTGGAGTATACGCCTGTTTTCTTACTTTGATAGGCTTTTTATCTAATCAGACCATTTTTAGAGCTAGCAGGATTATTGGAATTAGGGGAGACATTTGTCTGACCGGACACGGTCAATCGTAGACTGGAGACTGAGCCCAGCCAGTGGGCAGCCGCCACCCATGACCCACCCCCTTCCCCCCTCCCAAGCACTCACTGCACCCGGCTACAGGCGCGCTCCTATGTGAGCTGCCCGATTCAGATTGCGATATACGTTGCCGGTCCAGCCCGGAACAGGGGGATGAGGCGTGGAGGAGGATTCAACTATCCTGAAGATGGAAAGGACGGATTGACGTCGAATCACCATTCTGTCCTGGCATTGTCTCGAGAAAGAGGTTACACGTGAAGGTCGCTGAGAGTGGGGCCATGAAAATTTTGGATTAGGTGTAAACATGATAAACTGGGAGTCGATTTGTTGTGATGCGCTACGCCTTACGCGGGTAATTTGTTAGAGCCGGATCGGTCCTTTTTTCTTTTTGCTGAGAGTGGGTACGACTAACCTGCAATGGAATTTAACTTTACTCCTAGGAGGGTGGTTAAAAATGATTGCGGATATACGCGCATACGAGAGGCACTGGTTTACTCCCAATCCTCCGTTTAATTGTATTCAGTGTGCACTGTGCAGGGTCTGATAGGTGGAGGTAATGGATCTGTCTAGCTTCCAAAAAGAAAGCATCACCCTGGATACGTGTCGACCACAACTTTAAATGAACAGCAATGGACAATGTAAATGGTTGATAATGACCGTGTTGCCATCTCCCCGTTCGCGAATCATGAAGTTATGCTTCCTCACTGAGGCTCTTAGACGGGTTATAGAGCATGACGGATGTGGGTTCCGCATTTTCAAGCAATAGTTGTCAACAGTTGATTGATGTTTTGTCAAAACATATTAGCATATACGGCAGTTCAGTGTACTTTATGTCCGTCTGGTGTGCCCATCGTTGCGTTTTCGCAACGCTGATGGCGCCCGGTGTGCCCTTCGTTGCGATTTCGCAACGCATGTTTTTTACGTTTTTCTCGAGAAACTTTTGCTGCAGGCAAAAATTATTTTCGATTCCATACAAGGCCCTGGTAGGAGCATAACATATTTTGATTTCGTCGATTTTCATGATGGTCAATATTCCTGGGCATAAATGGGTTAACATTCCTTCTCAATGATGGTGATATGCCACATTCCTCCGCCAATCCCTATGGTATGCGTTTCAGTACTGCATAAGTACGTTCTTTAAAAAGTATATGGGTGTGACTAGGTTTCGAGCGGGTGGCCCCGCGCCAACCACCAAGTGCCGGTAGAGCGGTGGAGTTCGCGGCCCAGCCACCGCGTCGCGGTGCCTTTTCCGACGAGCCATGGCCCGACAGCTCCACCCGGGCGACGGTGCCGCCCGCGCGACCCGTTACCCGGGGTCACGGTAGAAGTGCGTGACGACACGGTCCGAGTCCAGCCGCCGTCCTGGCGGCCGTGCTTTTTGTGACGGCCGTCGGCCGCTAGACACACGGACCAGACCGACTGAGAAGCGTCCACCCGCGGCCAGGTTACCGTTACTCACGGCCGATACAGGCCAACGGTGTACGGCGGGGAGGAGAGGCTCTCCGCGTGAATGGCGGCGCTCGTGCCGGTCGGATAGCGGCCGGCCGGCCAACCGGCGCTTCGTGAGCGCCGTCTCAGCGGCCCGCAGGACGCGCCGAGTTGGCAGATGTAGAGAGGACATCAGACATGGCTGGTGTGCCGAGTTCAAGTTTTCACTGTTCAGTCGGTTTCTAAGGCTGCTCATATCCTCTCATATTCGCCGCGGTGCATTATCTCACACCCGGGTGAGGGTCTCAGCCAACTTCGCCATGGCGGGGGATGGGACAACACCAAACAAGGTTATCTCGGAAACTCAAAAAGCTACACAGGTGTAGAAAAAGCAGCAAGATCTTTTAGCTCGCTGTAAGATCTTTTAGAAGTATGAAAGGTCGTTTTTCAAGCAGGTCATCGCTGAGGTCACTGGAGGTAGCCAGGTGTAAAAATAGGTAAGAAGTTTCCCGTTTTGTATCTCGGGAACGAATAGTGCTAAATCGCCGCGGAAAAGCGCATTTAATGTCTCTTTTAAGGCTCTTTCTGAATAGTGCTCTCAACTTTGATCTTGTGTCAACGATTTAGCCGCCAGAGTGCAAAAACTCAAGAGTTAACGCTTTTGCGGTAAACGTTTTTTTTTTTGCAATAGTTAACTTATGACACCGATGTTGTATTACGTTGCTTTTACCGGCATCGAAAGAACAATACGTTACCGCGTCGAGTGAACACAATACATTAGCACCAGTATAACGCCTTTTGGGGCGACTAACGGAGCGAGCGAGAGGGTGAGCCTTGCACGTGCAAAATTTCGAGGGGGTACCTCCAGCTGACTTGTGCACGGCACCCTACTAACCGGTCTCTAGCGATGTGCCAAATTTGAGCACAATCGGCCCAGCCGTTCTCGAGATCTGGAAACGACCCCTGCACGTGCGCACGTGCAGCAGCACCCCAACTCTGGCACATGGATATGCAGTTCTTAGTGGGTGCCTACCTACATGCCAACTTTCAGCGCAATCGGCCAAGTAGTTACCGAGATATTGCAACAATTACAAAACTGACACCTCTTCGTTTTGCACGTGGCACGTGCATAAGGGGTCACCCACATGCATCGGGAATAGTCCAATACTTGGCAGAAGGAATGAAGCTACCATACAAAAATTAGGTACTGCGTGTAAATCAGTCAAGTGGTTGCTGAGATATAAGCCTCGCAAAAGCGTCCGCACGGCCGGCCGGCCGGCCGGCCGCTCATACTCAGAAATTTCCATTATCTAAGGAAAGACTCCGCTCGCTTCGCTCGCTCCGTAATGAAAAAGTCAACTTCAAAATTTGACCTCTGGTCAATGTCGCGGAAAAAGTCATGTTGCATATCAGTCGATTATCATTGAGCTGAGCGCATCTATAAAATGATTCTCTCGCTGTAGCATGTCTGTACCTAAAGTTATTGTAAGAAAAAAAAACTGCTGGAGTTTGCAAGACCCGAGATGACATCAAGGGTATAAAGAGATGTGCCATTTTCCGGTTCAGTGAGTCCATCCTGATGTCTGACATTCACTCAGTTCAACTCATCCTAACAATATCCGGGTTATATATCCCGATTTTGGCGGATGATGCGCCTTATATTTATTAATTATCATACTCTGGTGCTGTTGCCACGAGCTGACCTCAACATCCCTGAACTGCAGTTACTTTGGTTTTTGACAGCCCGTTCTTTGGGTTACAGGTCGGCGATGTACCCGGCCCAGCCTCTCCGTCGGAAGACTCTGGTCTGGCTGGTGGCGGGTCTGACCTGCCTGGGGCTGTTTGCCGCCTACAACACGATGGTCAGGCGGCAGGAGCTGGCGATGCCCAGATACCCGGTAGCTTTATCGCCGGAGCGCGAGTCCACCGGCTCCGCGGGAGCCGCCGACAATACAACGCCGACAGACTCTGTGGGTCCCACCAGTCATGTAGACCCCACTAGCTTATCAGGCCCCTCCGGTCCCATCGGCCCCGCGGGGGTTCCCGAGCTGTCCGTCGGTCCGGGTCCGAAGGATGAGCCCAAGAGTGATGTGAACGATGCTCATGCACCGACGAAGACCGGCGACGAGCCTCCCCAGGTCTCGGACGGGTTTCGAGAGTTCAGAATTGAGGACAACCCGGCGTACCGTTCTACGATGAAGCCGGGAGAGCTGACCAGCGCTGGTGACACAGCAGCCACCATTCACACTAAGGTGGCCGAGCTACTGACTCAGGGCGCCTCTCATCTCATCAGCAGGATAATGTCCGACCGCCAGGAGGTTCGTAGTGTACCACCTCAAACTCAGACGGGGGAAGGATTAAAACGGACTGATGCGTCACCGGGACAGATGACACTTAGTGATAGCGTGACGCGTCAGCAGCAGCAGCAGCAGCAGCAGCAGCAGCAGCAGCAGCAGCAACAGCAGCAGCAGCAACAGCAACAGCAGCAACAGCAACAGCAGCAGCAGCAGCAGCAGCAGCAGCAGCAGCAGCAGCAGCAGCAGGAGGAGGCAGAGCCGGTGCGGTTCACACCGCCGCACCAGGTCCTCGTCCACCTGGACCTGAAGGGCGCGCCGCCGTCGGTGCCGTTCCTCCGCGAGGTGATCGCTCTGGCCGCCGGCCTCGGTGCCACCGGCCTGCTGATCGAGTGGGAGGACAAGTTCCCGTACTGGGGCGAGCTGGCGCCCGTGACCGCCGGGAACGCCTACACCATGGACCAGGTACACAACATCCTGGTGGCAGCGGCAGCGCACAATCTGACCGTGATGCCGCTGGTGCAGACGTTCGGCCACCTCGAGTACGTGCTGAAGCTGCCGCAGTTCGCCGGGATGCGCGAGGACCCCGACTCGCCCCAGGCGCTCTGTCCGTCACGGAACGAGAGCAACCGCCTGGTGAGGACACTGCTGGACCAGGTGATGACGGCACACCCGGGCGCCGAGCGGGTCCACATCGGCTCCGACGAGGTGTTCGTCCTGGGCAAGTGTGAGCTCTGCCGGCGGAGGAGGAAGGATGACCTGTTGCTGGGTCACATCGCCCTCACGGCCAACTACGTACGCCAGCGATATAACGCCACCGCCGTGCTTTGGGAGGACATGCTGCGGAACGCTGCCTCTAGCCGGCTGCGCCAGTACGGCCTCGACCAGGGTCTGGTCGAGCCGATGCTCTGGTGGTACACACCCAACGTGCGCAAGTACGTGGCGCCAAGGGTATGGCGTCACGCCGAGCGCGTCTACCCGCACGTGTGGGGTGCCGGCGCGTACAAGGGCGGCTTCGGCTCGGCGCTTTTCTCGCCGCCGATCGACCGGCACGTGCAGAACAACCTGGACTGGACGGAGCTGCTGGCGGAGGAGGACGGCCGGCTGGCCGGCGGCGTGCGCGGCCTGGTGCTCACCGGCTGGAGCCGCTACGACCACTTCGCCACGCTGCCCGAGCTGCTGGCCGCCGCCGTGCCCAGCCTGGCCTTCAGTCTGGCGGCCGTGCAGCGTGGTGCCTTGGACGAGACGGCAGCTGAAACGGCGCAGCGGGCACTGGGCTGCATGGCGCCCGTGCCTCTGCGGCAGCTCACCTGGCCGTACCTGTACAACGAGATGGCCCGGTGCCGCTTCCCCGGTCAGGGAGTCTACCTGCTGATGCAGCGTTACAACCAGACGGCAGTGCACGTCCGCGACCTCCTGGCCGAGTTCGAAACGGGACAGGACTCCTCGTGGCTGGGACGCTACAACGAGCGGCACAACTTCACCAGCGTGCTGAAGGTGCGGGAGGTGTTCCCCAAGGTGTTCCGGATGCGGCAGCTCACCGCCCGACTGTTGCGACCGCTGTACCACGAGCTGAGCAGAATCTACGACCGTGACATAGTGCTCGAGTGGCTGGAGCACCGGGTGCTGCCACTGCTGGAGGACTTGGACCAGCTGCTCGAACGTCTGGAGACCATGAGTGCCAGGCGCGAGTTCCCCGCCAGACCGCTGCGGGGCTATCCGGAGCACTTTCTCCGGTACATGGACGAGTTTGTGACCGGCTGGCGCTCTAAGCGCTGAGACAGGCGAGCTGAGTGCGCGGAAGGGCAGCGGAAAGACTCGGACGCGGGCCTGACCTGCCGGAGCGTGCGAGAGCCGCCAGCAGTGCTGTGATATACTTTTGTTCATCGCAAGCTGCAACTTGCCAATAACTGTTTTGACGTGCGAGTTTCACATCACAGGGTTTTCTTTGTGTTCACAATGTCAACAGGTTTTAAGTGCACCACTTTTGTGGGAGAGGTTTAGTTGATTATGTGTGATGTTAGTTGACGACATTACCGGAGAATATGCTTCGGTCAGACACTCGTTCGTGGGTGGATAGGCATTGGTAGGTCTAATGACGTGTGCGGGGTTTGGATTATGAATACGAGTGGAAATGCAAGTCGTAAAACTGTCGCACGTCTTGTTACTGCATAAAACAACATGAGCTGGAACTTGGAAGCCAGAATCAAACTCTGTCAGTGTCAGGCTTTATACCCTTTCCAAGCTTTATCAGCACCGCAATAGACGTCTCATGACCACTTCGGTCATAAATATTTACACATAGACCCGTCCGTTCAGCTATAGGCCGCCGTATACTGAATGCTGGCAGGTGCCATTTGCATGCATGGCCGCATACGGCTGTACATAAACGCCGTGCACCGGTGGCGTGGCCTGTCACCTCGCATGGCGTCAAACCCTAGCGCGCACGACCCGCGTCACGGCCCGCCGCCGTGCCGCCAGGGGACGACGAGCGGAGTTTTGGTTGGCAGCGCAGGGCCGAGATGCCGCAATGGCACAGGTACAGTTGTGTACGGGGAGGTACCACAGCGCCAGGCCGGGCCGGTACCACAGCACAGGGTCAGGGAGGGAGCCAGAAGCCTCCTGTGCAGGGACCGCGGCGCCGGGCCGGGGGCACCACAGGCAGGGAGCCAGAGGCCCCCTCCGCAGGGCGGTTCAGTCGTGAAGGGAGGACGTCTGTGTGAGCCCACAGCGCGCCCGTATAACCGGTTTGACTCGCTCTAAGTCTGAACCGCCTTTGTCCGCGCTGACGTCTGTGCACCGGCCACCGCATGTTGCGCGACCGATGACCCGCGCAGAGCGAACAGGTCAGGAAGCTCAAAACCGGGCGGCACGCCGTAGCCGGAACTCGTGGGAAACGGATTAACCCTATTAGTGGCAGGCTCCTGGCTACCCCATATTAGTGGCAGGGGGGGGCTGTTTACGACCCCCCCTTGATATCTCGAGATCTAACCGGCCGATTTTCAAAATTCAAACGGCATTCGATTTGGCTCAACGAGATCTACATTTCTAAAAAAAAATTAAAAAATGTCAATAGGGGGGTAGAGGGGGGTAAAAACGGGCAAATTGCAGATACATTTTAGACTGTTTATCACGGCCAGGTTTCTGAACCAATCTTAACGCAACTTTTGCCGATCGATAGAGAATGAACCAGGAATTCACATGGATCCTAAAAATATGCATTTTCAAAAATCATAGGCGGATACAGATCATTGAGATTGGGGGTACACAAAAAGTATAGTAAATAAGGTTTTTGTTGGTACTGTTTCTAAAAAGGGTGGCAATGGTCTTGTTATGTTACAATTTTCTTATGAGAGAACGACTAAAATTGCATTGGTCATGCATAGGCGGTGTCAGGGCACCTATGTTGGGAGGTAAAAAATAACCCCCCTTTTTGGACGCCTGGATCCGCCTATTATAGCAAAAACGTGTCAAAAGAGGATGCACAATAACTTTGTATATGTTATCACATGATACCTTTCATTCACTGTTCGTAAAACTGGTGCAGCATCGTGATCTTCGCCCAAATGACTCGCTTCACGAATAGGACCCCCCAATTCCCAGTGCTCTGGAGCCGCCCCTGGTAAAGTTATGAACTTGAAATTTTCAGGGAATGTGCCCAATTTAGTTTTAGGAAAAGTCAGAAAATTTCAGCATCGTAGCTTCAGCGGTTTCGGAGATATTCCCGAAAAACCTGAGGGGTGGATAAAAACAACCCCCCCCCCCCCTGCCACTAATAGGGTTAACGGACGGACGTCGCAGCGCGAGCGGATTAGGCTTAGGTAACGATCGTCTTCCTGTTGGCAACTCCAAATCTTTTCAACTGAGGTCAAAGGAGGTCATGCCTGTTAATAAGATAAAATACGTAGGTAGATATTCAAATCGATGTGTGGGTTTAGGACATCACAAATTATCATTTATGACGGTAGTATAAGACGGTAGTATATTATATACAGGTATATGTTTGCGGTAGGTATATATGTTTCCATCCTTTTTGAACCACCTTGTACGTGTACAGCCCTCAGCAGACTGTGTGGTAGGTAGGTATTCTTTTTTTGTCAAAACCGATAATAACTCAATGGTTATGTTACCAGTCAGTCGGAATTCACTGCAGTGCAAATAGAGGCGCCACGCTCCACTCCTTCGATTGGGTCTAACAATAAACCTAAACTATCGCCTTGTGTGGCAACAAAATGCAAAAGTTTGTTTTGGGGGCGAATAGGGGAGAGCGGGGCCAGTTGAAACACGGGGTCAGATGAAACATGGCTTTATTTTCAACAGTATGCAACATATGGCGTTGCCGACACCACTGCGCATCCGCGCTCGACCACTTCCTTTGTCAACGGCGTTTGGGCGACAAACGGACGGTAATTTTGATTTGACACTTGTTTTTGTGTTTTTGAGGGGCGTTTGGGAGAAATCGTTCTTATGAATATTTTGTGCTATCTCATATACCTTTGTTTGCTGAAAGAAGAACTCCTGGCTCCGGAATAACACCTTATTTGGCCCTTCATTCAGCATGATGCCGTCCCTCCAGCTCGTTTGACATGTGCTTTATGGCGCGTGCGAGATGGCGGGAGCGGATGGGGTCAATTGAAACGCTTCTCTGAGGGTCAGTTGAAACAGGGCCACAGGCCGTTTCAATAGACCCCGGTGACCTTTGTCATGGTTATTGTTCAGGGGCTGTAAACATTAAAGGAAATAGTCCACCTTTGAAATGAGCTTTTAAACTGAAATAATAGTTAAATAGAGCTCAATTTTTGACCCCTTTTTCTCCAGCCTTTTGCTTGAAAGCACACTATAGCCTGAGATATTTCTCATTTTTCTCATCCGCCCATTTTACCATAGTCTATGTACTTTATGTCACCTATTATGAGGAACTTTGCACTTTTAGCTTTCCAACGACCTATTGAATGTAGCATTTGGAAAAGTAAACCGGACAAAATATCTCCTTAAGAAAGTGGCCTTAAAGAGGAAAACATGCCATTGTTAAGGATAGGTGCAATTGACCCCATGGGCTGGTTCAATTGACCCTCGCATCGGGGTCATTTGAAACGGGCGTAGAGCTGTTTTATAAGCATGCGTTTGGCAGCAAAATATGTTTGAAACATAATTTTACGTATCTTAAAATAAAGCCAAAAGAGCATATTTTTTCATGGCATTGTGCATTTTTCGATATGACAACTAGATCTCGCTGTGCATGTCAATATATAAAAAGTGGTTCAACTGGCCCCGCTCTCCCCTATATACCTACTTTTGGGTTTTGTTGCCAAACTGGATAGAAAATGAATACGATGATAATGCCAATCTACATAAGGTGCGGAGTCTCGCGCGCCTTGCTGTTATTATTTCCGAGTAAGCGATAGCATAGTATTCGCGTTATTCTCGGTTTTGTCGAAAAAAGAGTACCTACCACGCAGTTTACAGAGGGCTGTACGTTGTAAGCCTTCTCGAGCGCGGATTAGTGAGCCAGTGGGACAGGCTCCAGGTTCAGGACCAGTCATCCGCCCGCATCGGGCTCGTCTGGCACTAAGTGGTGCCGCCGGCTGTCATCCTCCGATTAGATCAGACAATGAAAAAGCCGCACAGACAGGTGTAAAAAGATGAACAGACGGCAAAACCCGACAGCAGACGGACCGGTCGGAGGGCACGTCAACCATTACCGCTCGGAGACGCTGCGATCAGTCTTGGAATCTTGCTGCACCTTGAGTGTGCTCTGTCGAGCGTCTCACGGATTCTCGACGAAACGTGGCCCCTACATACAGGGAGTGGCTGGTGGAATTTTCACCTCGAATACCGGCCTGTGGAGAAGAGCGTATCAGCCTTTCCCACACCCGTCGTCTCCTGCGTCCTTTCCTTTTCTGGACATGAGGAGACCTAATAGAAGGGGCAAACGAGCCACCGGTATTATGATATCGGAATGCGCTCACACAGGCCAACACCAATTTAATTACACTGTCAGCGAAAATCAGCGGAGTATACGGATTACATATTTCACGGGTCAAGTCAATCAATGGGGTGCCGGATGACCTTAGACCCAGTCTGGCACGGCACGGGTCACGTCAGCCACTGAGGTGCTGGATGACCCGGGACTCGCAATCTGACACGCTTCGGCTGAAGTCAGCCTCCACCGGTCAGTTCAGCCATCGCGTCGGGGCCGCTGGTCGCTGAATGAGCATGCTCCCGGACCCAGTCTGGCACATCAGCCGCGACGGCCCCGGTCAGGTCAGCCAACGGGGGTACTGAACAAACCTGCTCCAGAAACCACAAATAGAGCACAACTCCTGCCCGCAGAACTGAACTTCTTTCCTTATGATTATCTGATTATCTTCCTCTGTCCCGATTTCTGTCTTTGTATGTCTGACTGTCTTCTCTCTCTCTCTCTCTCTCTCTCTCTCTCTCTCTCTCTCTCTCTCTCTCTCTCTCTCTCTCTCTCTCTCTCTCTCTCTCTCTCTCTCTCTCTCTCTCTCTCTCTCTCTCTCTCTCCCTCTCTCTCTCTCTCTCTCTCTCTCTCTCTCTCTCTCTCTCTCTCTCTCTCTCTCTCTCTCTCTCTCTTCCCCCACCAAGTGCACAACAGGTGGATATCTCTTCTTGGAACGGAAGTAGCCCGCTCGGCCCGACAAAAATAAGCCATGAAATGCGACACATTTCTATGACAAGTACCCTCCGATTTCCACAGCGCGCACCTGTATCTGTCAATCTGAAAAAGACGGCCACCACCAGAAGATCAAACTGTATTCACACCGCTGGGTACCTTGCAGATAAAATGGCTGCCTGTGTACAAAAGAGCGCGCGCGCCAGCGAGTAAATAAGAATCGTTCTACAATGTAAGTGTCTCTCTATTTTCACATAGCTGCATCCGTAGCAACCAAGTTTCAGACGAACGTAACGTGAATCTCCGAGAAGCACGATTGACCTGCGGGCCGGGCGGGGGCGGGGGCGGGCGGCTCGCCATCCGCCTCCGGGCGCGAATACGCGGCCCTCCGGGCGGAGGCGGCAGCTGCGTACGATCGGGGCGGGGGCGGGGGCGGGGGCGGCGGTGTCTCCGGCGCCTCGCTGCGCGGCGATGCAGGGTACAGCCGCGTCGTCGCCCGTTCAGCTGGGCCTCTGCTCCTCCTCCCTGTCGCGTCGGGCGGTACATATCGGAGGAGCGGGCAGCGGTACTTACAGCGGCGGCGGCGGCGGCACGGCGCGCAGCACGCGCCCAAAGCGACGGCCACACCCACCGGCTGGCCGGCGTCGCGCACAGCTAACAATCACTGATTCAGCTTCGGCCCACAGGCGGTACTCCGATGAACACATGCACACAAGCTGTCGTGAATTTTAAAACATGCGTAGTAGTAATATAGCTCTGGCTCGCGGCGGGGCGGCTGCTGCCGGCGGCGGACCACGCGGGGCGCCGCCGGACCCGCGCGGCCGCCACATCCAGCCACCTCGGACACCGTGCGGCAGCGGCTGTCTCTCTATCTCGTCCTCTCCCGATCACGCGTGTTGACTCGCTGTCCTGCTCTCCTCACAGCGGCTCGGCGGACAGTCCGCGCGCTCTCTCGCTCGATCGCTCGCGTCTCTCACTCACTCTTTCTCTCTCACACGCGTGGGCCGCCGTCTGTCCAACGTCGTATCGCGGCCGGCGGCGCAGCACCACTGACGACACTCGGCGAGCCACTGACGACACTCGGCGAGCCACTAGCGCGCTGCCGCTCACTTCGTCTCTCCGGCAGTGGCTGCAAATGGCAGGGGAATACTGTCACACACAGGCACCAAGAGGCAAGAACCATAGCTGTTTATAAAACAGCCTGCACGTAATAGTCAAATACAATCCCATCACCTAGAACCAGAAAATGAGGTGGTAAATCAGATCCCTCATCAAACTGATTTCAATGTGATAAAAAATGTTAAGGGACTCCAAATATCCCTCAATCCCCGGCAATTACAAGATGAAGAGATCTCGGTGAAACAAGGGACAGCGCAGACTTTTTTTCGTGTTTTTTTTTTCTCGATAAAACGAACCTTAATAATATCTGCCGTTCGTTTACTTGGACGCCTCTTCCTTTTTGTCCTTCTTCTTATCCTTCTTCTTCTTCAAGAAGCTGGGTGTCCTCAGGCCCTTCTTCTTCTTTTTATCCTTCTTCGATGCCTCACTTGTAGAGATATCCTATAAAAAGAAGGCGTTAAGATTTTGGCATACCATCGCCACCGAAGGCAGTTGCTGACTATCAAAGCCCTCCTCCGTGACACAACCCCACCCCAACATCTCCAGCGTCACAGAATATCTCAGGCGCCAGGCGGTCGCCCGTCACCGCCGCGCCATTAACGTACCTCCTGATCGGTGTGAGACACGGTCGACATGTGACCGGTGTCCGTCTCGTCGCCGTTGGCGGTCAGGTCACCTGCGGGTCAGCACGGGTCACACAGGTCAGTCGCGCTGCGCCGCTCAGTCGGAAAGCGTTGGTGCGGGCGGGGACAGTAGTGCCTATTGTGCGCCCTTGTTCAATGGTCCAAGACTAATGAGGTAGGCCGAGCAGATTTGATACCGCTGGTGAATGCAGCGTCCATAATTCCATAAGTTTGGCTACTGGCCACATCTGCATCGCGATCATCAAGCACCGCTGCACCGCAATCGGGAGACAGGGGTAGACCAGGCGAAAAAAGCCAATACAATGCCGCATACCTCAAATGAACTTCCTTGGAGAACGATTGTAATTCGATATGAAAAGTTATTAATATAAATGAAAATGATAGAAGCAAAAATAAGAGAAATATTCTACTCGACTTGCAACGTCCTTTTTATAGCTGTTTTATCAAATTTCAACAGCGAAACAAAATAAACGAAAAAAAAATAAACGAATTTTAACGAATGAGCATTAGTAGCTAATGGTTACAACACTAACCAGCAATGATGTAAGGCGACAAACGCAAAAGCAAAGCAGATAAGTACAATAGAAACTATGTACAAAAGCTGTTATACGTCCAGTTATAATTTTAAGCGAACGGTACAAAAGCGATTAAGTATTTCTCCGTTGTGCTGATGAATGTAGGAAGGAGAGTCCTAAAGCGCCGTTTGATTTTGCTATCAGCTGTGCGAGTCGCACATCGCACAACTAAGCAAATGTACAGACTGGAGCCCGACGGACCGTGTAGCTTGTTTTGCTGGAAGCTTCCCGTAAATACCACCAGAGGTCAGTGGAGCGCTGCCGAGGACTGAGAAACGAGAACGTTTGAAGCCACCGAGCCGGACAGGACACAGCGACACAGCGGCGGCAGGGCAGGCCTTCTGCAGAGTCCCGCAGCTGTTAGCCGCTCCGAACACCGGAGCAGAATATGTCCAGCTGTATGTATGTACAGCGGCGAAGGACAGAGACGCCGACCGCCAGACGAACATCACCCGCTCCCGAGCTCCGGTGACCACCGGCGACCACCGCAGCTGACGGTCCACCCGACAGACGGACGGACAGACGGACAGACGGATAGACGGACGGACGGATGGCCGACCCAACACCAAGCCAAGCGAGCCGCCGGACGGACGGCCACGGACGGCCGCACTTACGCTGAGCGGTGCCTGAGCGCGGCGCCGGCGCCGGCGCAGTGGGCGCGCGCACCGGGGGCACCGGCTTCACGCGCGGGTTCTCGGCCGGAGGCATGGGGAAGTGTGTGCCGGCGAGGCCCCGCGGCGAGGCCGGGGAGCCGGTGCCGGCAGGGCTGACCGGGGAGATCGGCGGCTGGCTGCCGGGCCGGCCGGCCGAGCGCGGAGACTCTGGCTCACCCTCTGCGATCGACCGGCTCGTCAGAGGGAGACAGACAGACACACCACACGGGACGGCCGCCGCTCGGACGGATCGCCCGCAGAGAGGGAGGCACGAGCAGCTAGACCGTACCTAACTGATACCGCCAACGGCTGAGGTAAGTGTATCATGAGTGAGACAGTTAAAACATTCATTGATAGGTTAATGACACATCAATCAACTAATGTAACAAACAATATCAACTGATTGAGTTAGAGCAGATTCACACCAAAACGAACTATGGATTAATTCACGACAAACCAACGGGTAGACAGGACGCCGCTAGTAGACGCAACGAACCGGGTTAGTCAAACACCACGGTAAGCTGACGGACCAGAGGACGCTCACACGGCTGGCGTTCACACAGTCAAACGTGACGGCTGCCCGTTCTCCTGCAGCGCGTCTGATGCTGGAGACATCACACTCACGCCGCAAAGGGAGCGAGCCCGACAGGCAGCCCATCCAGCCGGGCGGGCTGAGCCGAGACGCGAATCCCGGTACAGTGGTTAGTTGGCAATCACCCCAAACGGCACAAAAAGAGACGGGACGGGACAGACACGTCACGGCACACGTGTGACGCCACCTGACACGCTGCCGTCGGCCGTCAGTGTGACGGGGTGCGCCTGCGAGGCGCGCGGCACCTGTACCGACGCCACACGGTCCGTGCGCGGCGGCAGCGGCGGCAGAGACGCTGTGGACGGGCCGCGGGCGCGCGCGGTCAGAGGGCCGGGAGACAGGTGGCCCGGTATCCGCAGAGACACAATTGTGGGACACGGGTCGCCCGTCGGTGGCCGCGTGATCAGCAGTCGCCGCACATTCACTGGAAGTCTGATAAGGATAGCCCACACAAAGGAAGATATAATAATGGTCGCTAGAGCGACTATGCACTGTTTAAGGTGTAGCGGCTGCTGAATGTACGCAGCAAAACCAAAATAATGTGCCACTTTTTTCAAATAACAAAACGCTGATTGCACCAAAAAGGAACCAAACCATACTAGGCAGACAACTAAATAAACAAACAATAATGCAGCCAGTTAAACAAACGCATCAACGGTACAACAGATAAAGAACACGTACAATGAAGTCAAAAACACAATTGAGCATCAATAATGCTATCTTATGAAACTGAAATATGAGTATATGACTTTGCATTGAAGGCAGGGGGAGGGATGTAACACAGGATTTGAATGGATAAATGGATATGAGGAATGAGGATTCATATGTGATCCATGTGATCCATGCAACCGTCCTTGGAGCACGCAGTTTGTGCAAAATACTAGTCATTCATCGGGATGGTGTGAAGACGCCATTACTCATGACCAAAGTGAAGTTCTCAAGACAATCGAGAAAGCACCAGGATTCTTTACAGATACCTATACGCATTACCGATTGTGCACTATCAGTGAAACGTCATGCTTGGAGAGAAGTTAAACTTTCAAGTATCGATCACAGGTGTTCCTTGGGGAGCCGGAGACGATTATGCCTTACATGCCAGTCACAGTCGGAAAGGAGAAGCCCGTACCCCAAACCACACATCTCGGAGTCACCAAAGACAAGCACACATGACAAATAATTTCAGGCGTGTTCGAGGCAGGCAGCCGTGACAAACTGTCTGGGACCGTTCGGTAGGGGCCCCACCGCTTAGTGCAGCCAGAAGGTGCGGCCTAAATCAGTCGCAGGCAATCAGCCCTTACATTACGCCAATGCGGCAAACCCGATAACCAACACATTCTGAGCCCCGTCCGTAGCCGATGTGCCAAATAACACATCCATTTTCAATCACACATGCCAGTGCATCCCCATATTCATACCACCCAGCAAATCATCTCCAGCGAAACACATTCACAAATTACAGAGCCAGTAACATCAGAGAGACAGGACAGTGTGTGGAAGAGAGCATGCCTTTCCGCCCGGCCGACGCGCCCGCTCCGTCTGGGAGTTCGCAGCGGCTGACGGCTGGGAGGCCGGGGAGCGGGCGGGCCGGCCGGGCGGACCATGCGGCGGACGGCACGTGCCACCTACCCTCGTGGTCGGATGGAGAGAAGGGCGGGGAATCGACGCGGCCGGCGGCGGCGGCGGCGGCCGGGGCGGTGGCGGGGGCGGCAGAGACGTCACCTGGCGCTGAGCTGCGGCTCACGTCGGCCTCCTCGCCGTCGCTGGGCAGCTGGACGCGCTCGGCGTGCTGCGGCGCCTCCGTCACCGGCGCCGGCACCTCGGCCTCCACTGCCGAGCGCAGGAGAGCGGTCAGAGAGCGGGGAGGGAGCGGCCACACAAAGAGAGAGTCACGGGGCTACACACAGCCAGCCGTGCGGCGCCACATTACCGGTTAATGAGTCGACAACGGACAAACTATCAAATAAGCAAGAATCCACTGCATTGTGTGAACGCTTGGATTGTGCAAATTGAAAAAAATGACAAATTAGCGAGGGAAATATCATTGCCGTCTAGCAAAGTATTTGACAAAAGCCGAAATCTCAAACCCCAACCAATTACTTACCTATTCTGTTTTTTTTTTTACTAAGTGCTGTTGAAGACAAAACAAGTTTGCAAAGTTCCTCCTTGAAAACCATACTTATAGACATTCACTCTTTACATTTAACCCTATTAGTGGCAGGCTCCTGGCTACCCCATATTAGTGGCAGGGGGGGGGGGGGCTGTTTACGACCCCCCCCCCCTTGATATCTCGAGATCTAACCGGCCGATTTTCAAAATTCAAACGGCATTCGATTTGGCTCAACGAGATCTACATTTCTAAAAAAAAATAAAAAATGTCAATAGGGGGGTAGAGGGGGGTAAAAACAGCCAAATTGCAGATACATTTTAGACTGTTTATCACGGCCAGGTTTCTGAACCAATCTTAACGCAACTTTTGCCGATCGATAGAGAATGAACCAGGAATTCACATGGATCCTAAAAATATGCATTTTCAAAAATCATAGGCGGATACAGATCATTGACATTGGGGGTACACAAAAAGTATAGTAAATAAGGTTTTTGTTGGTACTGTTTCTAAAAAGGGTGGCAATGGTCTTGTTATGTTACAATTTTCTTATGAGAGAACGACTAAAATTGTATTGGTCATGCATAGGCGGTGTCAGGGCACCTATGTTGGGAGGTAAAAAATAACCCCCCTTTTTGGATGCCTGGATCCGCCTATTATAGCAAAAACGTGTCAAAAGAGGATGCACAATAACTTCTTATATGTTATCACATGATTCCTTTCATTCACTGTTCGTAAAACTGGTGCAGCATCGTGATCTTCGCCCAAATGACTCGCTTCACGAATAGGACCCCCAATTCCCAGTGCTCTGGAGCCGCCCCTGGTAAAGTTATGAACTTGAAATTTTCAGGGAATGTGCCCAATTTAGTTTTAGGAAAAGTCAGAAAATTTCAGCATCGTAGCTTCAGCGGTTTCGGAGATATTCCCGAAAAACCTGAGGGGTGGATAAAAACAACCCCCCTGCCACTAATAGGGTTAAGCCCGATTCGTTTAATCCCTGTTCTAATCTCCACTCCCTGCGAGTCTCACCGCTGGCCCCGCGGCTCTTCTGGTCGACGAAGCGCTTGTACTCCTCGAGGTCCTCGTCGGTGACCTGGTCGAACGGGTTCTTGGCGTAGGGTGTCTTGTAGACGGTGGCGTTGTGCTGGTAGTTGCGCTGGATAATACCCTTGGAGGCGGCTCCCACCAGCACCACCTGGGAGACAGGGCAGGCGGACACGACACGGTCAGTAAAAAAGAAAGAAGAAAATACGAAAATAAAGTGCCCTAAAATACAAACTCGACCATGACGACCGTGATGATGCTGATGCTAAGAATTTTGAAATGCAGTGATTATTCGGAAATCTCATTTGTCCTATTGCATGATTCATATATGCTACAGAACACTAAGGAAGGAAATTTTAATCATTCGTAAGTAGCTGAGCGATAACGAATATCAGACTACCCATGTCACACCGCATATCACGATCTAAGGCGGCTGAGCAAAACATTTCCTTCCGGTGAGGGTCGTAACAACTGGGCCTCCTCGGTAAAGGAGCTCAGACCCATCACAGGTGGAGTACCACGCATAAACATCTGTCCCCCGTCGGTGAGTCATATCTACGACCCCTTCACCTAGTCCTGCAGCTGTGCGGTGTCCTATTTCATATTCGCCCTACCCCATCTAAGTGTTCGTGCGACGCCTTCATGCCGGATGTGTTCGTCCCGAGGACAAGTTCCAATCTCGTCTCAGCTGACACATGTGTCTCGCAATAAGAACCTGCTATTAAAGGCAAGCTGCTCAGCCCGGTAACAGCCACCTCTGTTGTCTTCCATTTCTACCCTGTCCTTTCTGTGACATCATGAGCCCAACTATGTCCAATCGATCCCAAACTTTCCTCCTCTGTATCCAAAAACCTCGTCCCTCCCTCCCTGTCTTCATTTAGTCCCTCCCCTACCCTGTCTCCTTCTGACCCTTCCTCCCCTTCTCCATCATCTCCCTTCCTTCCCATCCCCCGTTTCCGTCTGACCTGGTCGCCGCCGGCTCGCTGTTCGGCCGCCTCCTGCAGTTGGCGCGCCTCGTCCCAGGACACCCCCTCCAAGATGTGCGACTGGGGACCGGCGCTCACACCGCCGCCGCGGCGGTTCTCCTTGATCTGACGGACAGAGAGCGGGCGGTCAGGCGGGGAGCGGCACTGCACAGTTGTCAGGACGGCGAGGCAGAGAACGGATAATATCAGTGCTCTCAACAGTAACCGCATAACAGCATGAACACTCGATGAAACGGCACCGGCAATGGTCATATCAAATGCACATCGTAAGAATGAGCCAGCGACAGTGGTATTCTACGCTCCGAAAGTAGCGAGTCTACTCTGTTAACTACAGGTAACAGTCACGCGTACGAGACGCCATCTAGGCGGACACTTTGAACCCCGAATATCGACTAAAAACCCAGCCGGTGCCCTGCACGACCGCCTTGAGCCGGCAACGGCGAGACAGCGCCGGGCAGTGTTACTGTCAGCGCGGACAGTGTCACGGCCTCACCTGCTGTTGGAGCTGTTTGAACTCCTTGGGGTTGGTGTTCTTGGGCACAAACTGCAGGGCAGCGTCCACCTTGATGGGCGTGTTGCCGTGCGAGGGGGAGCCGTCCGGCACCCACTGAAACACACACGCACACCAATGAAGCCAAGTAATGCAGCATGCCCACCCGCAATATATTTCAGTTTATCAATTCGTGAAATTCATGAAACATTGACATGGTCCTTTAGCAATTGGTTGGTTCAAGCACCCTCAGACATGTTCAAGATATACAACAGAAAATAATATATTTGCATCAGCATGAAGCAGTTCCCGGGCAAGGCGTGACCAAGACCTCAATAACGCCCCACGACTCCGGCCGCACATTACCTTGTAGATGGTCTTGGGGTCGTTGGTGCCCGTCTCCAGCATCTCGACCTTCTGGTAGACGTTGGGCGTGTTCAGCCAGCGGGTCCGCTCGCCAGGCCGGGTCTTTCGCATCGGACTGCCGAGCAGAGCAGCGGCCAGGTTAGCGATGAGTGCAGCCAGCGACACGGGTATACTAGCGTTCAGCATTCGCTCCGTTGACAGATTTGCCATGTTATGCATGCATTCACCATCATCGAAGAGTAAACGTGATACTTTACTCACAAGAAACTATCAAGAAGTCGAGCAAAACTTTGAGTTGGCTTTCAAAGCAAATGAGCAACCATTTCACCCAGAAGCGTTCCCGAGTGTTCCCGCCAGCCAGTCTGGCCGGACCCCCCAGCGACCGACAGTGCGCCACCACAACCCCTCTGACGAACGCCCACCTGTATTTAAAGACGTCGTCGATATCTGCCAGGTAGGAGCTGGCCGCCGGCGGGTACTCCACGTCGCTCTGGTGAGCCGGCGCCTCGGCGCGCATCGTGTGCCGGTAGATGTGTCCGGTCCGGTAGCCGGCGTTGTCCATGACTCGCATCAGAGCCTCGAACTCGAGCTCGCCGAGCCGCCACTGGCTGCGCGGAGAGGGCCGCTCCTCACCGGAGGAGGACAGTGTGGGCCGGGTGGGTGGACGGCGCGACTCCTCGAACACCAGCTGCCGCTGCGCCTCGTCCACCAGCGTCAGGTTATCCACGCCCAGAGGCATCATCACCACCTGGAAGCCAGCGGAGTGGGAGGGGTTAAAAGAAGCAAGGATAAAACAGGCTGGCGTATTATTACAGGTATACAGGTCATTGTCCGATCGTCGGCGGACAGGAGTTGCCACTGGGAGTGGTCTGCGGAGGGTCACACAGTCAGGCGTGTGGCGATGGGTAGTCGGTTAGGTACCGTACACGACAGTGGGCGCCGACTGCTGAGGGCACACCTGCCAGAGCAGAGACCACGACCGATACAAATTGCGTACAGACGTACCACGGGGAGCATGACCTAACTCATGTGATCGATAATAAATGAATGGTACATTACGGCGCCGGCAAAGCGGTCACCATTTGAAATAAGGAAATACCACATACAAATCAAGAAATAAGACACCCTTGCTCGACTCCCGTTTATCTCGCAGTCCCTTTCCACCGACAGAAAATACTTCTTCCTGCTACTCCACCGCAACACCCTTCATCCAACCCACACCAACACGACACTGACCTGGTTCTTGCAGGCGGCCACCAGGTGTGAGAGCAGGAAGAAGGCCTCCTCGATGTTCTCTCCGCAGCAGAGGGCGCCGCGGTTCTGCAGCAGCATCACCTTGTTGTGCACGCCCAGGTCGCGGGTGAGCCGCTGGTGTTCGGGGTCGGCGCCGTCGGCCGGCGGCCGGTGCACGCTCACCTCACCCAGTACGCAGGCATGCTCGGTAAGTGGCAGCAGGCCGGCCCGCAGCGCCGACACCGTCACCACGGCCGGCTCCTGCACGTGCAACACCACGCGCAGGTCCGGCCGCGCCGCGTGGATGGCCGCGTGCTGCGCGTACGCGGCGCTGTTGAGGCCGAGCCCGCTGCTGCCGGCGGCCACGATGTTGCCCTGCATGTCGGCCTTGAGCAGCGAGGCGGCCGTGATCTCGCCGTACAGCAGGCCGTACGGGTTCACCAGAAAGTGCTCCAGGTCCTGGCTCAGCCGCACCTGTCGGCGGCAGACGGCGGCGGAGCGGTGTTAGCAGTGGACCTGACCAGTATCGGCGGGATATAGGCCGGCGTAAGGTGGCGGGGGATTGACGGGGCTGCATACAGAGGGGCGGGTATAGACAATGAAAGGGCTGTGACAATGTAATTTTTCAGCAATACTAATTCAGATTAGTGACTGCTAGCTGAAGCTGCTACTCCGCAACTGTCCCAAAAACACGTGTACGCTTGACACATCCGCTGTAATTAAGCGTGTACTTAATGGGAAGAATTTGCATCCACGTAGGACAATTGGAGGGATTATCATTGACGCGTACTCACTCGCAACAGGAAACATTAAAGGAAAACGGTGACCAAACCCGTTTAGCCAATACACCCGAACGTAGTTGCACTCCTTCAGTGTCAGACCACCTACGTTACGTGGCGAACTTCGCAGCAGTCAGGTTGAATGGCGATAGCGAGATAGGCGCTAGAGCGCTAGAGTACACAAAAAGTGGACGATAACCGGCACCGGTCCCCATCAGTCTGGGCTTGACACACAGGGTACACACAGCAGCCGCTATCGGAGTGTAGGCTGATAAGCATGCTGGGAGACGGGATGTCGGCACCAGGAGTAAAGGCTGAGTGAGACAGTCAAGGGCAGTGGGTGGGCCTGAGATCTTATTGCCGTCGGCAATCTAATGCACAGCCAAAACATTGACCCCAGCTGAGCTTTTGGATTGCCCGTCTCCGTATCTCTTTCAACTAGAAACATCACGTCTCATTGCGTCCAAAACTTTCCCACGTCCCTCATTTATCTACCCCAAAGATCTCTAACCAGCACGGCCCACACTCATCCTACCGAGGGTATTCCTCAGTCACTAACCGTGGCATGGTTGCAGACGCCCTGCGCCCAGCCGAACATGTCCATCACGCGCAGCAGCGAGGCCAGCTTACAGCGCAGCATCTTCTCCGGCTTGGTGAGCTGCGCCGCCTCTGCCCCGCGCAGGTCGGCGATCGGCTGCACGCACTGCATCCCCGCTGCGGGCAGAGGGATGGGGTCAGCGGGCCGCTCCGGTCCGGTGAGCACGCCCCTCTCCCCGGCACGACAGCGGGCCGTACTGCAGCGGTGTTACGCGCGGTATATTGTGATGGACCAGCTGTGTAAAGAGGGCGACAGAGCATGGCGTCAACAATGTGCGACAGTGTGCCAGCATAACGCCATCGCGATCTGATCCCACTGCGACACATTTGACACGAGGCGCGTGACACAATGGACACGAGACACGTGACATATTTGACACGAGACACGTGCCGTTTGATACGAGGCACGTGGTCTGCACATGACTGAACCGATTAGAGCGATTGCAGAAAGTGCACATGAGTACCTTGCTCAATGACGAGAGACTGATGCCAGAAAGAAAAACACGTGGCAGTCCTTTTACTCATTGCAGTTCAGCGGTGTAATCAAGGTTCGAAGTCGATAAGCGAGCCTGTCGTGAACAGCCCTGTCTGGATATTACTGGCTCAAAGCCTTCTGCTGCCGACAGATAAGAGCCTACGATGGGAACGAGCGGCCCTCCATCACTTCACTGTGCGAGCTGTGTCCAACAGAGTCGGATAGCGGAAAATGGGCATTGCTGTCCGGCCGGGCCAAACCGTCTAGCTCAGTGCTAAGAAACAAGTCTCCACATAGGTGAATTGAATAGAATCGCGATGCCATCCTGTCGGAGTGGCGATCGGGCACCGTGGTTACCTCGGCCAGTGACGGGTCCTGCGCGCACCAGGCCCAGCATATCGGAGAGGGTGGAGCCGCCCACACAGTTGCCCTGCGTCATGCCGGCCTCCACCAGACGGTCCAGCTCCATCTGGGGACAGAAGAGACGGCGGTTACATAGGTGCAGTGTAATGTGCAACGTGCAGTCAGATATTGTGCAGACAAACGGCTGTTACATGGAGAAAACAGAGAGAAAATGTTGGTTACGCGTTTTTGCCTTTGGACGGCAGATGGAGACAGACAGGCGGGCAGTCACGCAGGGACAGATCGACAATACCACACAGTAGACGAAGCAAACACTAAAAAGACTTTCAATGCCGGGACTAATCGCTCTCGATTCTAACAATGCTACCAGAAATTATCAAACCAGTTCACCACCCAGCTATCCCATCCGGTCACGCACCCCGCTAATACCGTCCCACCGTTTACCCGTCCCGAAGCCCGCCCAATCGTCTAGCATCCCATCCCACCATCTTCCACCCGGTGCCCTAGTCTTCCCGTTCCGTCCCACACTCCGTCGCACCGTCTACCATTACATCCCACAGCCCGCCCACCCCGTCCCACCGTCTAACCGTCCCATCCCACCGTCGCGCTGACCCAGCGGTCAGACAGGCGGCGCGCCGCCCCGTCAGCAAACACAACAAACAGCGCCGTCGCCCCGCCCGAGGACCGCCACTGGAAGGGGGGGGGGGATGGACACCAGCCCTGCCGCCGGCGACAGCGGAGACCCCGTCAGCGTGGGATCTCACTGGGGAGCGGCACCAGCAGCAGTCAGAGGACACAGCCTTTGAGTGAGAGCATGGAAACTTCAATAACCAACATTATGCAGTGATACAGATCCCAACAGAGAATAGGAAAACATAGACTACCTAACATCAATTTTCAGGAGTATAAAAAAACACGAGCTTAACAACCCAAGAATAAGAACCAGCTTAAATAGTGAATAACCAGTAAATCGTGAGAGAATGCACTGTAATTAAATAAATCTACAAAGAAGCAAACCTCTCTATGTATAAGGGCACTAACCCTAAGCGAAGCAGGGTAAATAAGTACCCGGTTTCCTCATTACACGGCCGTTGTAACAACCGTGTCCACTACAACAGCCATCAATCTATATTTGCAACAATGTTTATACATGCAACAGGTGACACGACATTGTTTTCCTCTTAGCCAGCACTTCTCTAGCATCCCCTCCCCAGCGGTTCAGGTTTGATCATTGACTTGCGGGCTACTCAGTTGCCTCCTGCCTCTCCATCACGACGGCTGCACAGCTGCACATAACAACGTACACGATACAGGGCAGCTAAAAACACTGCACTGGCAGAGTGATGAGCTGATATAATCATAATTAAGTCCCCGTCGAATAGGTCCCCGTCAAATAGGGTTGTGGCAGTAATGACAAGACTGTTGCTGTAGCGGCATAGCAATTATGAATGAACATTGAATCAATGACAGCACAGCCCGAGTCGCGTAAGTCACGTTGAGATGTGCCTAGGACGCAGCTGGGAACCACCGAACGGCGTCTCGCCGAGTCCGGGACCGTTCAATGACGACTGGCGTCCTCCACTGGCAGGCAGAAACCATCCTCTCATTGAGCCCGACTACCCTCCTGGAGTCACGGTTCGACGCTGACTGTGACATAACGCGGCGAGAACGGCTCAGAAACAGTCAGCCATGTCGATAGCGGACCACACACCCGAGGACCAGAGTCCATCAGCTAATGTAAGCTCGGCTATTTTGAGACCAGACTCGATGGTGTCATAGCCATCACAAGTGACCCATGACAATGGCGTCTCCAGCACGCCACCAAGGCATAACAGGGTATGGACGCGGTGGTGCGGGAAATTTAGTTAGTACAATATAGTGTACTGCCGCCAAGTTCTGTCGGAATCACGACCCGACGGCGATACATAACGAGTGTTAGCTCAACACACAGACAGCAAAGGGGCTGATAAATATCCTGGAGCCAGTGACCGGAGTCAACTCATTCAACCCAATAGCCGTGATTCACTCACATCGGGTCACCCAGGGGGTCGTTAAAACTCTGAATAGTAAAATCACTCAAGAATCGAATTCCATATGATCTTGCCAAACAAATCCGGCTCCATTTGCCCAGTGCAGGGGTGCTGTCTGCCCCCCCCCCCCCCTCCCAGACACCGCTCGCACCACCCGGCCGGCTACATCGATATGCACGGCCGGCGTCCAGGCGGCGCCACCGTCGGCCGGAGCGTGCCACGCCCACCCCGGCCGGCGCCGGTCCGAGCCGCCGCAAAAACCACCACCGTGCCGCTGTACCGGCCAGCGGTACCGACACACACGCCACGCGCCACCGGTAGCGGCAGCCAGAGGGACGCCCGGCACCAGAGACAGCGTGCAGAGCACGGCACGCAACCGGTTTATTGATCAGCGCGGCCTCTGACCCCGCTACTAGGAAGGACAGTGTATCCGGGAAGTGGTGATCAATAAACATCGGCGGGCTAGTTCTCAGGACGGTTGGGAGGGGCGCAGTGGGTCCTATTGCAGTATGGGTCGGTCTGCGTTCTAGCCACCAGGGTCGTAAAGGCAGTCAGATATAGGGAATAGGATAGGAGCGGGAGCCGTGGTAGTGATGAGACGGATTGAACTCAGACTGGAGGCCGGGCACGAGTCTCCCAGATGGCCTCTGGTATCCGCCCTGCCCAGTATCGTCTGATGCCGATGATCTCAGAGGTATCACATAGACACTCGCGTCGGCCAACAAAGTACAGAACGTTCTTAGTCATGGACTCATGGCACTGGGATGTACGAAACACCCCCTCAGGCTTTAGAACCTCCACAATGTACCATCCACATTGATCTTCGCATTAGATCAGCATTTAGTCACAGACCGCAGAAATGTCTGTACCCTTTTGCGGTCCTGATGAAACCAGGAAACGCATACCACGGTACATGACTCAGCCACAAGCAGTCGCAGACATAAACATTGACCAGTCGAGGACTGACAGACACAAACCAGCCTATGCACACCAACAGGGCCGGTGGTGGACCAGTGGCCAACAATCCCAGGCTTCGGCCCCTAACTTAGCCCAGGCACCAATATTGACCAAACAACCCACACTCCAGTGTTGATCCGCGCAATCATACTAATCCAGTATAATCAGAGTTCAAACAAAATTCGTCTCAGTCAGCTGTGACACAAAACACCAAATCCTCGGTACATACCCAAGTTACTTCCCCAACTCTGCCACACCATTTATTTCACCTACTGTTATAAATAACATTCTCCGATAGCAGTCTCATTCCCACCCTTACTCAAACCACCCACTCTATACCTACTACCACCCCTGCCAGCGCACTCCTCCCCATCTCCCGTCTAAGCACGACTCTTACCCTGAAGGCGGGCGACTGGAGGACAGCCTCGACGCGTTTCCGTCGACTCATCTCCCTCATGTCGGCGTCGACATCGGCGGGCCGCATCCTCTGCCGCTCCAGCTCCTCCTCTGACAGGCCGTTGGTGTCGGGCGCGTCGCCGGCGCCGCCATTGGCCGTCGCAGTCGCCGTCTCCATGGCTGGTGGAAAAGGTAGGCTGGGTTAGGCCCACGCTGGTGGACACATGGTATGGCTGCAGTCAGGGAATATATGTGGTAGTTGTGACTTGTGAGGGTTTGTGGTGGTTGAGGCTTTGTGGTGGTTGTGCGTAGGAATAGTCCGTGCACGTGAAGATAATTCCGCCACACGTGGTGGGTGAGGGGATGACATTTTGGAAGAATAAATGGAACCTTAGTCTGAATTGCTGTTAGCACTGTTTTGAGAGACATGCTTAAACATATAATCAAGTAAAGTAACCGTACTCTCATAGTTAATATCCAAAATCGTAAGAAAAAGGCCTGATAATTCCGAGGAGCTTTCGGCTTACGCCTTCTTCAACTCCAAGTTGAACTCCAACTCCAAGTTGAAGAAGGCGTAAGCCGAAAGCTCCTCGGAATTATCAGGCCTTTTTCTTACGATTTTGGATATTAACTATGAGAGTACGGTTACTTTACTTGATTATATAATAAATGGAACCAATGAAAATAGAAACAGGTGTGCTAGTACCGATGCTGTCACAGCTGTCCGTCTCTGATACCCAACAAGTGAGCGGCAACTCGTGGCAATAACAGACAGGGAAAATCAATAAAAAAGAGATCTGCGAGAAATGCAGGACATAAGTTTGCCCAAACAAAGAAGAGTCCAACACAGACAACCTTGTCTAGATCAGGACAATGGCATATCACAGGGTCAGTTCCTGGCGCCATCAGGCAGGGAGAGGGTTACTTTTCTGGTCGGAATGGGTAGCATTGCAAAAGGTCAGCGATAGACAGTTATAGAGGGACTGTGTGGGTTGCGGCAGTTCGAGATAGGGACGGCTTTGGGGCTCAGCGTCATGGCGGGGCTTTAGATAAAACAGCTGAAAAATACAGGGAAAGCCTCTATCGAAGAACAAACAGCATAAATATCACAAGACACATCACAGATATTGAAAAGCAGAATAGCATTCATTCGGCCACACATCGCTCATGAATAGCGTAGCGCAGTGTCTGTGTATATTCAGATGTCGGAGCTGCTGCGTGTCCTGTCCAGAGTCGTCGCTAGTCCCCGTTCCGCAGCGGCAGCACGGCAGTCATCAAAGCTGCTATGGATGATGGCCGAACGTCAAACACCAATCCGCTCGCAGCTGATCCACTGACGCAATCTGACACAGATGGTGACACACGCTGCTCGGCGCACGGGTCAGTAAACCATGCTGTCTCGGCTCTGACGTGTGCCGCACGGCCACCACGGCGCTATGGTGACCTGACAGTCCGCCACGGCGCCACGCGTCGAAGAACGGTGACCGCTACTGATGGGCTGCAAACCGGCGCTGGTCGCCAACCATCATTCAACTGGCCAGCGCACCGCTGCAGCCGCCGGCCCACTCAAACACTTCTGCACTCTACCAGAGTAGACAGATCTGCAGTCGCGATTAATAACTCTGCTCGATCTCGGCAGGACCACCGCTGGATAGACGCAGAGCCGACGGCAGATGCCGCAGTTCTACGAACTAAGACCAAGTTTTCGGGTACTAGCGCTGTGTTCCAGTCAGGAGCAATAGGGCGGTGCACGACTCCATCCACAGTTGCTGCCGTCATTCCACACCGCAGCCGACACCAGAGGCCAGCGGCGCGGCGGCAAGGCGGCCGTGGCAGGGTGCCAGGGACCGGCTCGGCGTTCACGGACCACCTCACCCCGCCGTCGGATCACAGCCCACGGGTGGAGTGGCACGGCCGGATCACAGCCCGCGGGAGCAGCGGCAAAGCCCGTCCACAGCCCGCGGGAGCAGCGGCATGGGCCGGATCACAGCCCGCAGGAGCAGCGGCAGCACGCCCGGATCAGAGCCCGCCGCGGGAGCGGCGGCATGGCTGGATCACAGCCCGCGGGAGCAGCGGCACGGCCGGATCACAGCCCGCGGGAGCAGCGGCAGCAGGGCCCGTGGCTTGAGCAGCGGCATGACAAGCAGAGCCACGGCCGAGCGCAGGGCAACGCGGCCTTGATCGAGTTACACACTCTGGTCACGGTGGTATGTCAGCATTACATACGACACGATCCGATGTAGGTGCATGCATGGCACATGATAGCTGGCATAACACACGGTGTCCAGATTTCATGCGCAACGAGTATGCCTCACAAATTTATGACGCCGCCAGCATTGCATAGTCAAACAGGAGTCGTCTAGTTAATTCAGTTGTGATCAAGATAAATTGGCGCAGCTGTTGCATGTTTGTATTTTGATGGCGCAGTAATACCCAATCAGCTGGGGCACGGGTGAGTCAGAGCTCAGAGCCAGCCAAGCGTGCCTAAGGCGTGTCGCTGTCCGGCGGGAAGGGTGACTTCACGACCCAAGACGGCCATCCAAACTACCGACCCGATCAATGACCAAATAGGATGTCTCACAGGCCACAGCCCTAGCATAGCACTCAACCAGTTCAGATCCCGATGGGGGCGCTCTTCTGACAGTTATAGGTGAGTCTCAGTTGACATCAACAGGAGCGCTCTCCAGACACCTACAGTGGCTCTCAGTCACGTGCCGTTACCACGCTGAGCACTTTCAGACATGGCAGCTGGTCCGGAACCCCGACCACACAGTTCCGCTACCTCTAAATAACTCAGACGACGCCCATTCCGGTCAACGCCACATTCGGAGAAATATTTCAGAGGTTGTCTGGCCGACCGGGTTTGTGGACAGCAGTAAATATGGTGACCGGTTAAAATGAAAGGCGTCCGTCAGGTAGCCCAGAGAGCACTGTCCGGATAGCAAAACTCCGAGAACTGTTGGAAACTTCAGCACGGCTGTCTCAGACTGGCCGCAGACTGGACAGAATTGGCTCATGAATTCGTAGCTCGCAATCGGTAGAACAAATCTATTTTTGACCTTGGGACTTCCTCGTCCATCTCTCAGGCTTCTGGCTTCATCCACGGCGCGCCTGCAGGCCTCGTATAAGGTGCGACACACTCCTAAATCAGCTCCGTTGGCAGCCATTGCAAATCTGAGCAGCTGTGCTGGCGTCCTGCCTATACGTGTATTACCCACCGCCTCGAATGTTCTGGCTAAGTTACCCTGTGCAGGGTGCTTCGCTCACAGCAGAGAGCGGGCAGCCGTTATCCACAGTTGTCCGCGCTGGCGGAAGTGCCGCGACCCGCCATCACCTCTGTTCATTTGGGAGGAACGCGCGGCGGTATGCCGGCATCCCGGCCGCGACCACAGTCCACTTGTCAGCCACCAGTCCTGTCCTCTCCAGAAGAAACGGGATTCCGGGCTGACAGGAGGCGGGGTACTGCAGACGGGACAGGCAGAACAGACTGGATCACAGACCACAGACCGAGCACAGACCGGACCACAGACCGAGCACAGACCGGACCATAGACCGGACCGCAAACCTGAACAGCCACCAGGGCAGCCAGCCACAGAAGCGGAACACATAAATACCGCTGACTGAATGAGACGATGCTGGAATGGAGAAGCGTCAACGGCCTTCAAACGGTTGCTGCAGATCCCACCGTATCCGTTCCGTGCCCCGTGACACGACATCGACGCGGGCAGAGGTCAACCAAGGGGTCGTGTCAACAACTCATCATAGCTTGATAGCCACTCATAAGACCAACTACCAGAGGTTTCGCAATGAAGCCCTTCATCACCGACGTCAGGCAGCCAACCGGATCCTCGCAGCCCTGCCAGAATGACGTCTACGGAACGACCTATGGCACGGAGCCACCTCTGTCAGAGTGCTCAAACCAGAAGCAAGCTAATTAATCTAACAAATGCACGCTATTTCAACCACAGGCAGCTCGGATGACTAAAGCGTCAACAGGGAACGGCCCAATTTCACGACCACAACAGAGCGGGCAGCGTTCTCGGAGCTGGCCACAGTTCCGCGCACCGCTCAACGCCCGAACAGTTTCATGTCCGCCACTCATGACTGCGGCATGCGGTGCCCTTTTGGCTGCCGACGTCAGGGTGGGAGGTCCGCCGGCTCACCGCCCGTCGAATTCGACGTTATGGCACGTCCGACGACCGTCGAGGTCGACGGCCTCCCGAGACGGTCGGCAGCGTGCCGGGCGAGGCCGTACGAGTGCCTCCATTCTCAAAAACGGCTGCCAAACTGGGCCAACGGGCTACGGTCCGCGGGGCAGGGAGGGGCGAGGCTCACAGCAGCTTTGTATGGACGTCGGACACGGAAAGAACTCGGAACAATGAAGAGACGCGCAGTGGCCTGGCTGGTCCCCATTTTGATGCAGCATCTACTTAACCTCGATAAATACTCCGGAACATGCTAAGCGTCAGTACAGAGCAGAAACCATTATACGAATAAAAATGTAGAAGCCATTATAAACAAAAGAAGAAAGAGGGCGTTTGATTCTGATAAAGTTCTTGAGATGTTTTCTGGATGGGCGATGGCGGGTAGAAAATGTCGTGTCTTGGGCATCTTTCAGCGGAATTCCGACATAGCCGGGAGCAACAGTACTTGTTTGATGCGGGACGAACCAAAGTAGACCGTGAACCCATCTGAGTCAGCTAACACCCAACAACGCATGGCCCACGAACCGCGGCGCCCGGATCAACACAGAACATGGCTAGCAGCACCGGCCGATGACGCACGTGGACAGAGCCTGCGGCCAAAACCGCACGTGGCAGACCTTAGCCGAGGCAGGACGGTATCCGGCCGGTCGGCTCCGGCAGTTCAGAGGGAGAAGCGTCCAAAGAGATAGGTATGAGCAGAAGGCAGCCCAGCCCAGCCAGACGCTACTCACTGGTGCCTCAGCTTTGGGGTTGGGTGGATCGATTGAGTCCCAGCTCCAAAAGAAGTCCAATTTACCGCCGTCCAAAAGACACAACAGATAAGAACACGCGACTCTCCCGTCGCTGTTCATTAGTGTGGATCCATTTTCTAAAGGGCGTGGCAGGCAGAAAGAAACTCTATCGGAACTTTTCGCTAAAAGGCGGTCTTTACCAAAATAACTCATTATATTAGTTAGGATTGGCATTTATCAAGAC